CTGTTGGGTGAGGGGTCAGATGTCTTTCAACTATGTTGTTCCTCCAGTCTTGAGGTCCCTAACCAGTCTGTCTTCTTTTTCCTCCCTTTCAGAGTTCTTCTAATGCCTCTTGCGATATTTTATAATTATACTTATCCAGAGTTTACAACTGCACTTATCAGGGAGGAGCAAGTAGAAATGAATCTACACTCTCCTATTAAGACCATAACTCAGAAAAGTATTTTAAAAATTTTCTATCTGCACAATTTTCCCAAAGCCAAAAGCTCAAGACCATCCTAAAATTATTTTTAAAATCATGTATTCCAGATGAGTAAATTTGGCTATTCCTCTGAAAATTAAGTGGCAATAACAACTTGTTCTCAAGAAAGTAACTTAAAGACACTGTTTAAACCCCACAGTGTGGTGCCCTCTATGTAGCTTCAATATTAATCTAGTAGGGTCACTATATTTACTCATTCAACAAATATTTACTGAGTGCTTACTATGTACCGGTACTGTTTTAGTTACTGGGAATGTAGCAGTGAGGAAAAAAAAGAAGTGTTAACATTCTTGTGGAAGTTTACATTCTCCAACATGTGAATTTTTTTTTTTTATTTAAAACTACTCAAATAATCCAATGTCTATTCATTCATAGGATCAGCTCTCAAACATCAGACTCTATTCATATCTACTATGCATGAAGTATCACATTCCTTGTAGGTGTTTTCAGTCATTTTTTCACGTGTGAAATTTAACTAGTGTAAGAAACTAAGTGAGGAAAATAACTATTTTCGTAAAAATGACATTTATGCTAGAATAAATTCAGAAGGCTCAAATCTGTTAAATGTCCACGTTTAGCCAAGCACACAAATCTGGTTGCAAACATTTATGTATGTTTTCAGATTTCAAAGTGACTTTTTATCAGTTTTCCTAACAACAAATCATTGCTCAGAGAAAGTCTTCCTTGGAAGGGCCAGTTTATTAACAGAAACCGATATGCAGAATAGAGTGAGAAAGAAGGTGAAAAAGATCTTGGGTGAGGGGGTTTAAACTTGGGAGACTGGCAGAGTAGCAGTACTATAAAGAGAAATATTGAAATTATGGGTAGAACTGACTTTAGAATGGAGGGTACTTAGTTTTTGAACACACTAAATTTGATATAACTTGGATAGCAATGGCTTAGGAAAATATCAGATCTGTAGTCATCTGGATGTCATTGGCAGAATGGTAGAAGTTATAGAGAAGGGTAGGAATCTCTGAAAAAAGTGGCTTGAATAGTGATTCAAGGACTGAGAAACAGAAAAGTCAGCTCCAACCTCTGCTCTCTTCTCTCTTGCTCTCTCTCTCTCTGACTCTCCAGGTGATCTCATCTGATTATAGAGCCAATCTAGCTAAACAAACATGTTCTCTATGTACGCTGTTATAATTTCAATCTGCCCTGATATAAATAGACATAAACTGCAAACAAAATACAGAGCAAATATTTGAAGCCAACAATGAAACCATACCAGATATGAGCAAAGAAATGAGAACATCCTAGGGCTATAAAGAAGAGGGTTTTATGGGAAAATTAACTTCCTATCTTCTAGTTTTTGTGAAAATTTCCAGTCTCATATTTATATGAAAAATAAGACTTTGGAAGCCTTAGAAATCCAGTGTGGTGTACTTGAGGGAAAGTTCTGTAAGTGTTGGACATGGTTGAAAGTAAGACTCAGAACCTACGGTAAATATAAAAGAAATTTATTGGAGAATTTGGGGAATACGAAGCCAAAATAGCTCTTTGCACGTGCTCATATTTCTTGAACAAATATATTTAAAAAGAAATAAACTTGCAAACTCAGACAAAATTGGTAATGTAGTTTGGATCATGATTGTGTAAGATTTTGAAGAGCATGAATATCTTAGAGTAAAATGTTCCTAGAGGTCTTAGAGAAACAGAGGCTAGAAAAAAAGATTTTTAAAAAACCAAAGCCTTAATATTTTTTCACAGCAGAGAGAAGGAATGACAAAAGGGAAAGTGGTACAGACAGCTTGACTGGTGTAAACTGAAGTTGAAGAACATATGCAAGATCCCTACTGCCTTTTAATAAAATATGTAAAGGGATACTCCCAAATGAAATATAGGCACAACTAGACATTTTGGTGGGTATGATGGAGGACAGAAAAGATACTTGTTAAAAATTTGATACAATAGTTGTATACAGCACACTTACATGGTAAATGCTGAAAGAAACAGATTATCTAGTATAGAGAGGTCCAAAGACCGTGTCTTAAAATTATATAATCTGAGTTTAATCACAGGCTATGAGAAAACTGCTGAAACCATATGACCCTTACCCAATTTCAAAGTCCAGAGATATTAGTAAGCCAGTGTCATAATTGGTGGCCTAAAATGGTCATAGTTCCAAGTTGAAGACCAAATTATGGCAAGTTAACCTTCTGTTCAATAACATAAGTAACTCAGGAAAATACACTTTAACTACTTTGCCTATCTGGGCTTAAAATTTGGTCCTTATTGTGTTATCTTGGCTTATTTGGGAACCTCTTGATTATAAAGTTATCAAAACAAAAGAGGAACCAGAGTTACTTTAGCTTGGATGCAAATACAATTGGCCTGCAGAACGCATCCTTTATTACATGCCTGATGCTGGATGGAATGCAGTTGCTTCTTTATTCTGTACTGCTATAGCTAGAATTAAACCGCTTTCATTTGTCCTTAGCTTAATTTCTGTCTCCTCAGAAGTCTCCAACTTAACCACTTCCATCCTGGACTAGGTTGCGAATGGAGCAAAAGCGACATGGTGATTTCAGTTCAGGAATCCCACTCACTACCAATGCTCTGAATTGGCTGCATTCGCCTCTAACGCCATCCAGCTGCACCTCCCACACAGGGCAACTTAAAAGCCTTTCTACCAAATAAGTTTACTTCTTTGAAAATTTGGATCATTTCAAGAAAGTTTACCCTCAAATTTATTCAAAATATGTGCTGAGAAGCCGCTCATCATTCACAATTTCAACTACTGCTTTTGCAAGTTGTTTGGGAGAACAGCAAGTTGGCTGGTGGTCAGAGGTCTTCTCGCACCTTTCAAAGCACAGGGCAGTGCTCACTGTGCATGTCTGATTTAATAGCCAGAACACAATGTTCAGAGTCAGCTGATCCTGAAATAATAAGGTGACTCCCGCCCTCCCCTCTGCCACCCGGTTTTACTGCTTGCCACTGAGGACGGTCAGGCTCTGGTCCTCTCTTACAATGACTAGTCATCTCCTCTCCAAAAGTGCTTGAGCCCAGGAGTCTGAGGTTGCGGTGAGCTATGGTCGCACCATTGCACTCTAGTCCAGGCAACAGAGTGAGACCCTGCCTCAAAAAAATAAGAGCAGAGGTGATGCAAAAAGGAAAATGAAAAACTCAGTTTACTGTTAGGAATAGCAAAGATAGTTCTGTTGAAAATGAGAGACTATATTTCCAACATACTGAATAAATTTACAAATTCAAATATCAGAAAACAGAATTTCCAGAAAAATTTTATGCATATTCACTACCAAAACCATATATAGACAGTCAATAAAAACATTTTCTAAATTAATTATGCATGTAAATACATCTGCTAATTAAATGAGACTGGTAGATACATCTTCGTTAAGGTGTTAGTTTTATGCTTGCTTCTGTATATTTTCAATTATGAATTAAGGGCAAGAATCACCATCTGCCTGTGAATACACTGCAATAATTTAAAAATTTCATAGAGCTATATTCTATCTTCTAGTTTGTAAACAAATGTCTCCATGGACCTTTCAAGTGTTTATAGTTGGTGCACTGTAACTCAACACTTTTGTGTAATACTGCTCAATGGAGCGTAGGACACTGTAATTATAGCACAATTATAATCATAGTCTAATTATTGTAAAACTCCAAACCATTTTATTAAGATTCTTTTGGCAATGATGAGAACCTACATGAAAGTGTGCCCAAATGATTTCAGATTGTATACTAAAATTTATTAGACTTGTAATAGAGTTTATCCTAAACATATACATAAAATATAGATAGTGACAGTTGACGAGGGTGTGCTGGTCTAAAGCTTCCCTATATCCATATTTATGTATGAGTTCCGAAAACATAATAGTGGAGTATGATCTTTTCAAATTGCAGTAAAATATACGTAAGATAAACTTCACCATTTTACCTATTTTTGAGCGTACAGTTGCAGTGGCCTTAAGCACATTCACAGTTGTACAACCATCACTACTATCCACCTTTTCATCACCCCAAATAGAAACTGTGTCCACTAAACACTAACTTCCCATCCTCCCACCCCCCCAATCTCTGGCAACCACCATTCTACTTTCTGTCTCTACGAACTTGACTCTTCTAGGTACCTTGTATAGGTGAAATTACACTTGTCCTTTCGTGATTGGCTTGTTTCCCTTAGCATAGTGTCCTCAAGGTTCATCCATGTCACAGCACATGTCAGAATTTCATTCCTTTCTAAGCCCAAACACTATTCCATTGTATAAAAGTTAATTCAAGGTGTACAGTACTATAATAAAAAAAAAATTAGGGGTGGAGTTAGCACCATATGGCTTGGGGTCAGAAGGCAGTTTCCTCCCTAAAATCTTAATGCCATGCTACATTCCTTAAAATGTAATGGCAAATTCAACTCAGAAGCTGAGAAGAAAGACTAACACAAGCACTGATAATAGCAAATTAAAGGGAAGTATGTGTAAATGAAGAAGAGACAATGAGTTCTGCCTTTCACATGGTGGCTGAAGAAAAGATAATTAATGTGCACCTACACTTTCTGTGACCTCCTGATGGAGAGGTAATCAAGAATTTAGGATTATTTTTTCTGACATATTCTTCAGACTGTTGTATAAGTTGAATGATGATAATTTGGTTTAAAATAATATATGCCTTTGTTTAAATGAAATAAAGGAACAAAACATGCACTATGTGAAACAGGCTAGAATTAGACTCATCATTTTAGAATTAGGAATAATTATACAAAAACAAATTAAAATGATAAGATTCATAAAACTTCTTTAATTAACATACAAAAATATACAATTTCTCAGGTTCATTATGGTAAGCCTGTTAGACACTTTATAAAATATTCATGTAGACATTAAAATCCTAATGTTCCTAAATTTGTTTATACCATGATATTATAAAAACATTTCACATATATGTTTACCAGTTTCATATGAAAATATATTCTCCATAAAGCATAACAACAACTTGCATTTTATAAAATATAGTAATATAAATTTTAGAAAAAATTTGACATCTTTATCATAAATTCCAAATTTCAAATCTGTCTTATAATAAAGACAGATTAAAATAATTTAGTTGAATTTCATCAGAATTAGTTCAAAGTAGAATTTCAGAACTACTATCTGGAAATGAAAGTATATGAAGACCATCTTTCAGTGTTGTTTTAAAATTACTCATACAGGATTTTGATTAGTTTAGCTACCACATGCACATTGAGACTATTTCCAAGCAGGCGATAACGCTGTTTCACTGTTATCTTCTCAGGAAATCCTAGAAAAGAGAGATAACAATTTATATACAATCATTTGTAACAATAACTTCCAGAGATAAAAGGATGTATCCTTTAGTAAAGGCACAGTGGTCACTCCATAAATAAATCAGTAAGGTCTCCATGAAGTTTTATTAACAAATAATTTGGAGCCAAAAATATTATATATCATTCATTACCTTACCTACACAATGAGATAGTGTTGTATCACATTATGTTATATCTCATGCTCAGCACACACACATACACATAATACTCACAGAGCTCAGAGAAATCTATGTATTAATGCACTTTTATAAAAAGCAGTGAATACCATTATTTCAGTTATTTCTTTTATATAACACCAGCTGTATGGAGATATTAATAGAATTTACAAAATGCCATAAAATTCACCCTTTTAAAGTGTACAATTCAGTGGTCTTTAGTATAGTCACAGAATTCTTCAAACATCTCCACTATCTATTTCCAAAACATTTTTATCACTTCAAAAAGAAACCTGGTACCCATTAACAATCCCCCTCCATTTCCTCCCTACCTGCAACGACTTATCTACTCTCTGTTTCTATGGATTTGTCCATTCTGAACATTTCATATATACAGAATCATATAATATTAAGATGTTGTCTTTGGTGTCTGGCTTCTTTCACTTACCATAATGTTTTCAAGGTTCATTCATGTTGTACAATGTACCAATACTCCATTCCTTTTTATGGCTGAATAACATTCTATGGTGTGGATATACCACATTTTATTTATCCAGTCATTTAATGATAGACATTGGATTGTTTCTACTTTTTGGCTGTAATAGATAATGCTGCCATGAACATTTATGCATAAGTTTTTGTGTGAATGTATGTTGTCAATTCTCTTGGATATATACCTAGGGGTGAAAATGCTGGGTCACACAATAACTCCATGTTTACCTTTGAGGAACTGTCAGGCTATTTTCCAAACAGCTGTACCATTTCATTATCTGACCAGCAGTGTATGAGGGTTCTAATTTCTCCCACATCTTTGCCAACACTGCTCTTGTTTTAGCCATCCCAATAGGTATGAAGTGATTATCACATTGTGGCTTGATTTACATTTCCCTAATAACTAATGAATAACATCTTTTTCATGTGATTATTGGCCATTTATCTATCTCTGTTGGAGAAATGTTGATTTAAATCCTTTGCCCGTTTTTAAATTGGATTGTTTTTCTTTTCATAGTTGAGTTGTAAGAGTTGTTTAAATATTCTAGATATAAGTCCCTCACAGTTGTTTTTCATACTCTGCTTCCACAAATTGCCTTTCTCACATTGGACTTCTATTTGCTACATTCTTTTTCAAAACAAAAAGGCCCACAAATACTACATATACTGGAAGAAAGCCTTACAAATATCAGCATAAAAGACTGCCCATGCATAAGAATGTGCACTGTAATGTCAGTTACAATGCCAGGATTTTACATTCAGTAACCTTTGGCATAGAGAATCAATAAAGGAAAAGTAACTCATACAAGAAAGTGAAAAATGTAATTAAAGAGTATTAAGAGCAGCAATATTTCATATATTTATAAGGGCCAGAGGTAGAGTTGGTTATATTAATAATAAAGTTGTTTCATCAACACTTAACATTATATGAACTGTAATAAAATAATAGTAATTACTATAATAAAACTATATGTACAATTGAACATAATTATGAAGTTGCTATTCTAAGGATAATGTCTTAGGCAAGCACATTACTCATCTCAAAAATTATTTAGTTCGAAGTAGCCAGAGGAACAAATGCACCTACAAACAGACTTTTACAGTATCTCAGAGATGGTCTTTTGCAATATTAACATTACATCAGAAGGAAAGAAAGGTTTGAAAACAAGTCAGATTTGTCAAAATTATATGTGCCAGTGTGCAATTTGTATGTATTTTTAAAAATCTAAACTAACTTGTGGGAAAAAATTAAATAATTTTTTAAGTTAAAGAGTGACTTTTTAAAAACTTAGATACCTTAAAAATAACAATAATTGTCAACACCAAAGAAACAGAATTAACAAGGTCAAGATAGTAATTTTCATCCAGCAAGCGTAGACTGGTGTCCCTGTCTTCCAAAGCCTGCTGCTACATGGACACATGCCGCCAGTCATAAAGAGAACTGGGACGAAATGTACAGAAGGATCGATGCAGATCCATAATTGCCAGTGGACAAACGGCTCAAACAATGCTCGTTTTTGGACTCGTAGTCAATGATGTTGGAAACAACATGACAGACAGTTGTGTCACGGTGCTACTGAGTGGCAACATCAGGGAAAGTTTGACTACAAAATATACCACATATTCTAAAAGAAGATTCAGCTATTTAAAAGGCCTTTTTGCCTTTTACACATATATTCAGACAGCTTTGAAAAATTATCCTATTTTATCCACCTAAAATTTAAAAATGAGAAAAAATATATATGAAATAAAGGTTATGAAAGTAAATTTCTCATTTAAAAAATAAAAGCTAATGCAAATTTTATGTCTCAGATATTGTGTGAGCATTTCATTCATATTAATTCACTTAACTGTTACAACAACCCTATGAAGTAGTTGCTGTAATTAACCCCATTTTACAGATGAGTAAACTAAGGCAAGGAGCAGTTAAGGTGGACCTAGGATTCAACCTCAGTCAGTCTGGGTTCTGTGTTCCTTACCAAGTTTCAGTATTATCAAAGTGACTAACACTCCTTGAAGAAAACAAGCACTAGAATAAAATTTTATTAGTTTTTATTAGATAGTTAATCTATTTTCTCTCTTTAGTAGTATGTCTGATTGCTCATGTGAAAAAAAGAAAAAAATAGTCACTAGGAAAGCATACTGGGAATAAAATTCTTGAGTCCAACTCTCAGCTCTTTATTTGTTTTGTGATGTTTTCATTCATTTTGTGACATAAACTAAGACAAGGAAAGTTTGTGTTTCTTCTTAAATAACACTCCCATGATATTAGGGATGGAATGAGATCACCAAGAAAGAGGTAGGGAGTAGAAAATAAACCTGGTTGCTGTGACTATGCACGGAGAATCAATTACCAAGAGGGCACTCAAATTATATTGGAAGTTTGTTCCCCACGTACAAAAGGATTGTGTTGCTAACTTCACCTGCAAATCCATTATTTAGAATTTGAAACATGATCTATTTAAACTCATTGTTTACCTAAAGAATATTAACACAGTATCAGATTTAACAAAGTTTGTCTTTTCTGCATTCAAACTCTTAATCAGAGCTCTCAAAAGCACATTTCCTCCTTCTGTAGCTCTGCAAGCATGTTAGAGAGGTCAGTCTTTCTCCCTTCCCTCAGCCAGGTACTGGGAGCACACCCGCACCCAGGCCTAAGAAAGTGGTGGCCTGGCCCCTTCACTCCTGAGAGCACTGCCCCTCAGCAGGGAGGGGCAGGGGCTGCTCTAAGAAAGCAAAGGCAGCAAGTCCCCTCTCTTCACAGTGCTAATCCCCAGATTTCCTGGACTGCCAGTGGAGTTAGGACTTTGTGTTTCTCACTCCACAACTACATCTTCACTTTTGTTCTTGAGATTCCTCGCTTCTGATCCCCTAATCTTTTGTCAACTCTAGTGTCCATGCCCCTGGGTCACCCTTCTTCCCTTCAGGAATGCCCCATCCTAGATGACTGCTCACTTTCCCTTTTCTCCACTTCGACCTTGTAGGGAAGGAAAAAGGCACACAACTGATAAGAATGTATCCTTGAGGAAGAGAATAAATACAAACAACACACTCCCTACCCTTCCAAAATAATTCCCCAACTGCCTTTAATTTCTTCATTAAAAAAGGCAATCAAAAAGTATTAGTTCCTTCCCCCTGGGAACCTGGTGAAGATACATTAGTGGGAGAGCATTGCTTTTAATAAATAAATAGCAGATCTTATGGAAAAAAAAAAAAAAGACAAGCAAAGGCTTTCTTTCACAAGCTCTACTGTGAGGTTACTAGTAAAGGACCTCTGGAGGCAAGAAAATGAGCTGAACGGGGGATACCATTAACAACCATCCCTAGAAAGAAGTGAGGAATTGCCAATGGGCTCCTTCTGCCCATGCAAACCACTCTGGCCACTGGTGGAGTTAAGTGACAGGGAGAATTGAGTCAGAAAAGAATGGAATAAGGCAGTTATAAGGGAAAGGGGAAAGAAAGCAGGAAGATGCCCAAAATCCCACAAATAGGGAAAGAAAGAAGTTTCTTAAACTAATCTGTCTGAGCAAGGGTTTATTCACAAAACACACATGTAAGTCCCTAATGAATTCTGGAAACCTTAATAAAGGCTGAAGTCTATAGGTATCCCACATACCAAACTCTGGAGGAAATCCAAGGAGATTTGCTATTTCTTTAGGAGTGAAATATCGCAGTTTAAGCATTAACAACTTTGTTATCTTTTCTTCTTGTGACAAATTGGTAAGAGATTTGTAGATATTCTCAATCTGTAAGAAAACATACAAGATAACTGAAAAATTAGTCTGCAACTAGATTTAAGATCTCCTATTGTGAGACAGTTTTGAAACAATGGACATATAGTCTGAACTATCACATGGTAGCAAAATGTACAGAGCAAAATTTCTCTGTGTGGTACACTATATAATTGGCTCAATAATAGCAATGTAAACTTTGAAAAAGAAAAAAGTTAACATTGAACAACACATAGGATACTTTTCAGTATCTGCCATTTTGATCCCTTAAAATTAAATCATAACAATATAAGCAATAAATGATAATATAACAGAAATATACTTAAGGATAAAAGAAACTTGGCAGTGAAGTCAATTTTATAACACTAACCACAAGATCATTAAGACATTTATTATTTATAATCAATTTCATCAAATTAAGATGAAATTTATTATTTTTTAAACTCAGAAAATATATTAAATATGATTTCACAAATCTAGACATCCATTTGCTTATAATAGGGTTTTTACTATGGCTAAATTTTATTAAGAGCCTGAATCAGTATAAAAGAAGATAACGTGATCTCACTTTAAAATCATTCAAAAATATATAAAACTTGCTATATATCAGGCTTGTACTAGTTTTAAACCATGACACCATGAATAATTAATGACTTAAATATTAATAAACACCATTGCTAAAACAGATTTTTTTCCTTAATAGGGAGTTTGATAGCATGTGCTATAAAGAAAGGCTCCAATATTAAGATGTTTATGCAAAATTTTAGAAAACACTAACTACGTTAGGCTAAATTTCAATTTACTATTTATGGGATGAAAAAAAACGTAGAAAGTAAAAATAAAAAAAAGAAAAAACATAAAACATTCCTTGTGCATAATCATGTGTGGCAAAAAGAAAAAGATTTATTCTACAGTAGAGAAATAGTGGCTATATGAATATTTATCATATATATTCCCATCCAGTTGAACATGTATAATTATTTTAATGTTCTCAATTAAGTATTAAACATAATTTTATTTAATGATTTTCAATTATTTTAGTTTTAAACCACACATAGTACCTGCACATCCTCTGCAGTCTGCAACACAGATCCTGTCCCTTCTATGTAGCTTCCATAACTGAAAAATTAACATGGATATTATGCATCACCTAATGTATTGGTTAATGCTAAATTTCTTAAATATTTCTTGAATGAATTCATGCACACAGTTACATTCTTCTGAAGTATCTGAATAATACCATAAATATGCTTTGTAATTATAATATTACTAAGTAAAAGATATAATTAAAGTTCTCAGGAACTAAACATGGCACAGTATTTTGAGCTGTATAAACACCACTGAATTATGTATTATCAATTATCATTTATTTGCATCAATTTCTTTGTATTAATTGTCATGTCTTTAATGTTCACCACTGGAAAGTATGTACTTTATGTTCAAATGCTATTCAATATTGGCATCCCTCCCACATTAAAGCAAATGTTGTATAGGTGAAAATAGATTGCTGCTATTTTTTATAATGCCTGAACTATCATTTCTTCTCAAGAACCCAAAACCCTGCTCTCCAGTACCATGACAAACACAGTTCCATTGAGCTTGTGTCTGCCTGTCATTTAACATAATATGTTTTTACTATCATTTTCATACAACAACCAGACCATTATGTAAATAACTGTATAGAGAATATAAGATATTAATACTTAAGAAATGCAAGGTATTCATTATACTTCTCTCTCTAAGATCATTGCCAACCTGGCTGTTAAACACATTAAGATTTTTTTTCCAAAAAGAACAATTTAAAATATAAATTAGAGCAAAAAAGACAAAACAGGGAAAAATTTTTTCAAATTGTTTCTTCATATTTATCATACATATAAATATGTATTTATATATTATCTACACTAAAATAAACTTTCATAGTAAAGCTTCCTTTATACCATCTTTATAATTACAAAAGAATTTCAAGGTTGTTTTTTATTACAAAATTGATAAGTCTTGTTTTATGAGAGTCCTAAACAGAACCTATTGGACTTGGTTAGACAACAGCTGGGTGAAGTGCTTTTAATGGAAAGCAATAAACCCTTTCCCCTGAAGTCAAGGGCAGAGTATGATAAAATGAGATGAGTCTGGTATGATTATATCAGGGGCAGTATCTTGTCCAAGATACCTAGCTAGTAGGTAAGAAGAGAATGTTTGAATTGTCAAAGCACACAACTATCTAGCAAATGAGTTTCAATAGCATTTACAAAGTGGATGTAGAGATTTTTGGCAAAAATTTCCAAAAAGGCCCAAATTCCCCTTCTTTCTAGGTTTAAAAAAATTGATGAGAAATAAATTAAATATTTGAGAAATAACTCAGAGGAAGTCCCCTAAATGTTTATCAATAGATAACCAGTAAAATAAATTATGATATACCTATAACATGAGAATAGAAAAGCCCTTTATGTACTGATATGCAGTAATATGCAGCATATCCTGTGCAGTGAAAAAAGTGCATATAAGAATGTATATCGTATGCTACCATTTACTTAAAGGGGAAATAAAATACACACATATATTTAAATATACCCTCACACACAATAACTTCTGGCAGATTATACAGTAAATTGACGTCATTGGTTGCATGAAGGGAGAGAAACTGAAGGGCCAAGAGACAGAAGTGGAAGAGAGTCTTACAATCTTTACATCTTTTCAATTTTGAACCATGGGAATATATTACTTATTAAAAAAACTGAATAAATTTTAAATTTAAAAGTTACCCTAATATGCTCCAGATAATTCAAGTCTATTTCTTTAGATTAAAACTTAATTTCTTCTTATACACTGATCATAAGAATACATATCATTCTTTGAGGTTTGATGTGCCATAGAAAGAAAAGCGCTACAAAATTAGCAAGCAAGTCTATCTACAGAAAGCATGTTTCCACTATGGATATTTAAGGTCCTGTGAAGGTCACCAAACAAATGACTTTGTCTTTTATGGCACTTTTGAGGACGGTGCACATAATGTTCTGTCAGAAGGAATTTTCACTCATGTTCTATTGGAACACAAAGCAGGCAATTAAGGGCAAAAAAAAAAAGAAGTTATTCCAGCAAAAACATTTTATAAAATGTTCCTTGTTTTGAGAATAAAAAACATTTTATAAAATGTTCCTTGTTTTGAGAATAAAAAAAAAAAGATAGCTATAAAAACCTGGTAATTATGGATATAACATGAATAAATCTTTAACAAACTATAGAAACGATGCCTAAAAATACAGTCTTAGGAATGATCTTTAAAACCTACCCTTTGGTAAAGCACACGGACCTTCTGCAAGTGGGTTTAACAATGTCTAATAAAAGAGCATATCTCAGCAATGACTTTGGAGGTAAAAAGTACTGATTCATGTCAATGTCATCTTCGAGAAAATCTTTTAGCATTTGCACAGAGAGATCACTGTCCTGTTGATTTTTCCTTTCAATTTCTTCTGCAGTTTCAAGCTTAAAAAGAATGGCATCTTTTCCAGAACACTGTGTGCTGCTGTCAAAGCAAATATTTGGTTCAATTTTTTCTTCAATTTTATCTTCTGCATCTACTGCATATTTTTGTGGGTGTTCATATTCAATTTTGGGGAACTTCGTGAGTACCTGGCATTAAGTAAAAATACACAAATTATCAAAATCCTTATTAAAAATAAAAGTCAAATAATAATGGCCAGTCAACATTATGCAAAAACTTCATTAGCCTTCACAGGGTTGTCATTAAAAGATAGAAAATGTGGTTTACTTATATTTGTATAAGTTATTACAAGCTATTAATCATATAGCTATAGTGTCATCAGGCTACAGATGATTTATTTCATAGAGTTACTGCTTTCTGTATTTATTAACAAAAGATTCAGCAAAGTAATAGAATATACAAAGGGCATCATACATGGAAGAAGTTTAGGAAGCAACATTAACATTTCCAGAAAATGTGTTTTGGATCAAAGTTTGCCATACTCCTTCATTAAGAAGGAAAAACTGGAATATACCCATGAGCTAAAGGAAAACTAGTAATTAAAAAAAGAAAAGTGCTTTTCACCATGAAAGGTTATATCTACTCATGAACTCTACTCATAAGGAAAAATTTGTTTCTGTGAAATACATAACTATGTATGAAGTCCTATATTGTAAAAGAAAAACCATTCTAGGCATTTTTAATGATGACGTCTTTGAAGTCAATGTATCATGTTAATATACTCTATACATTGTTTTTTGAATTGCCTGTATGGAAAGGGAGATATATTAGTATTATAGAGGATTCAAATGACACTACTGATTTCCTATTAGTAGGACATGAGTTCTTAACCTATGATAGTTATAGAGAGCTTCAATGAACCACCAAAACTCAGTTATCCACTCCCATTTTTGACCAAAGCACATAAAATTGCTCACATGATTAAGGACTACCATAGCAATTCAGCATTTCATTCAAGCTTATACTAATCATTACTATTAATATATTTTAATCAAATAAGCTAAATAGCATTGGCTTTAAAGAAAATACAAATAATGTGTTAAAATACTCTTAAGCCATTTTTAAGATAGAATATTAAATTTTATCAAAGTAACCAATGGCTTCTATCAGGGAAAGAAAATGAAAAATACAAAATAGTTAATGGTCAGAAGGAAAATTATGGGGGGAGGAAGGGGATAACAGTTCTAATGGCTTTTTTTTTTTTTTACTTTTAATTGATTTGTTTTCTAATGAGAAAAGAAAAAAATTTTTAATTTTTAAAAATTTTGTTTAAACCAATACAAATGGCATCAGGAGAGGAAAAAAAGGCCTTGGAGATGGCCTTAGGGCATGGTCTATACTTTAGACTCTATAGGACACATATAAACCTACAAAAAGTAGCGTTTGAAAATAAATTAGAAGACTGATACATATTTGCAATAAATAAACCATACTCCTACTAATAACAATACCAATAACAATACCTGGCCAGGGACTTGAAAAGGTAATGGTTCTGACTGAAGCTTTGCAATAAGGAAATACCGTAGCCTTGAATTTGGAATGCCAAGCTGCAAGTAGAGTAGAGTAGTTAGTTACCACAGAAAATTCGAGAGATCTGCACTAACTTCAGCACCTAGTAAAAAAACTCATAGAGGTATATATTTAGCTTCTGCCAGAGCAAAAGCTGCTAGCAATTTGTAGAAGACTTCTTGATAGCAAATTCTAAACCTGTTAAGCTTCTGCTCTGTATCTTTATTTGAATGAGGTAAAGACTGACTCTGATGAATATGTCTATGAGTTACTTTCATTTTATATTTTCCAGATAAGAATATAGATATTTTTACTTCCATTTTTGATATGCAGTAATTATAAAAAAATGAAATTCAAATATAGCTGTTCTTGGCTATTTATTCGTTCATTTACTAAAAAAGGAGAATTCACTATGTTTTAGAAGTTAAAAGGCAATAAATATGAAATAAATTTAAAAAGATCAGATATATTGGCACTTTCCACAACTTGTATATCTAATTTTTGAAATGGGGTTTCTTTTAATTTCTGGGCAATGAACTATATAATATGGCTAAAGCTGATAAGAAACTAATAAGAACAAGGACAAAAAATAGACAACAGCACTTATAAAGTCAAAATCTGTCAAATAACTTATCATGGGCAACAACTTCAATTTCTTACCCATGAAATAGAAGCAATGTTTTCAGTTTAATGTTATGTCCTCAAAGGAGTAATTAGAAAATTATCATATGTTCGTTTTGTTTTGTATCTTGGATTATTTTGAAGCATTATTAAAGTATAGCACATGTAGTTTAGAAATACCAAATTTTACATATTTTCAAATATGTTATCCTTTATTCTCCAAAAGAAAAATATATTCTTTATGACCTTCAAGCTATATAACTGTTTCATAAAATATGTATAAATGAATCTATATGGATGTACTACATTCTTTAGAAAGTAATTCCCATTTCTGAATGAATTTCAGAAGGTACAGATAACATCCAAAATAGAGCCATTCTGTTTATTGAATTAAATTTCCTTTGGGGAAAAAACCCTTTAAATTGTAATTTATATAAAGGTTTATAATTATGGTACTTACAGAGGTTGGAGATAATAGAAACTCTTGGTACTGAAAGCCACAATTTTCTATTGTTTGTATCAACAGGTCTCTGAAAAACAAAAGAAAAAAAGAAAATCTTTCACCCTTTACTTGGAATTGGGTTCTTATATAAATATTGTACATCACACTTTAAGTTAAAAATGTGTAAAACTGTACACAATACTTCAAGTTGTTTAGAATGACAATGATCCTAAGTTTTTACTAAGTCCAGTACTTGAGAAATTATATTTAATAAAAAGATACAGACATTTCTCTATTATAAATAGATAAAGCTGCCAGATAAAGTATCCAAGTTGATAAAAGTTAGAATCAATAAATTTGCCATAGGAACTAAAACTGTATCTTCAAAGTAGCAATCAGATGGGAACATTGTTATAGATAACAGCTAAATCAAGGACTCACACTGATGCTTTTTCTACAGCGGGGCTACTATCTAAAAGAACTCTGACATTGAGCTTTTTCTTGTATCCACGTGCAAGGCAGAAAATGCCTGTCAACAGCACCAATTTTTACTGAAAACATTCCTACTACGAAAAAAATAGGCAACAATATAAGTGACTAAAATTGAGAAACACCATTCTCACTAAAGTGAGTGCTCATTCTAAAAATATTCAAAGATATCAAAATGGGAGAGAATCAGTTGAATATAAGCTTTGTAATGTTTTATGTTAGTAGTCAAAATCAATACTAATGAATAAAATATATAACATATATAAATGTCAGAATGAATGCATTAATTTTTAAGATCTTTATTTCACAACAGTTCCTATTATAAAACATACCTAATCCAAGATACAAGCAAGACAAACACATACTTTTACCTTGTAGAAGATACTTCAAAACCTTTAACATTTTCTAAAAGAATATACTTTGGTAATTTCTGTAATCTAAAAAAAAAAAAACAAAACAAATGGAATTCTAAATAGCTCACTACTAGGAAGTAAAAAGGTAAAAAGTAGAGAAAATCATCACTTGTAAGAAACATGAGGTAATTTCCCAAACTCTCCCTTTTTATAAAGGAGTTTAAAAGGATGGCGACAACTCATATTTTATTCATTTTCCCTAAAAACATGGTACACTTGATAAAGTTAACATTTGAAATGTTAAATTCCATTGAAGCTTATCTCAAAACATGGGTTTGCACAGGGCCTCTGCACTGCACAGCCCAAAGGGTTGCCATTCACACAGAACGGCAGCTTCGAGGGTTAGCACAGGTTTTCAAATCATAGTAACTGCATTCACTAACATTAGCATCATTTGTATTACTACTATGAGCAGAGGCAATAGAATTTAGCTAATAGGCTATAACTTCCTGCCACTCACTGTGGTGGCAAGTGTGGAATGGTGAAACATTTACAGTTACTCTATTAGTCATGGCAGAAGAAGATAAATGGCATGCACAGTATCTGAAGGGAGCATGTGTAAATTGCTAATCTCTATACAACTATAAACACCACATTCTTCCAGACCCCAAGTTTTAAATTTAAGGTAAGCTTCTACAGGAGTCTAAGATTTTACCTTGGGAGAATATCTAGAATATATAAGAAGCTATTCGTCCTTGGATCAGTCATATCACCCTGCAGGCCAATTCTAAAGGGGTAAAGAAAGCACAAAAAGTTTACCTAGAATCTTATATGGAGATATCAATCACTTTTAAAAAGTCGAAACCGAGGGAATTAAGTTTGTCCTTATAAAAAACATGAACATCTTGTTGCTATAGAGAACAAAATTCATTTATTTATTTAATTAAAAAGAAAAAAAGCCCTACATATCTAATAAACCACACTTAAAATTTAGTTTTACAAAACAATATGTCAAATGAAGCCAAAAAAAGAACAAGAAATCAATGAGGAATAAAACCAATTACCCTCTTAAAAGCACTTAGTTCAGGAAAAATACACACACACACACACACACACACACACACACACACGCCAACAACACCTTTTGCTCTGCCCCAGGTGATCAAGAGTTTAGCTGAATAGGGTAGCAATCTGGAGCTAATGGCATTGGTGACTAATCTAAGCAAATCAGAGTAGCAGACAAGGCTAAGACAACCTGGTCCAATGTAAAGAGGAGAGACTTAAGCTGAGGACTTGATTCTATAAGCAGTAGTTGCAACTTGGCTACACTAACCATGGTCAAAATAGGTCATGTAAAGCAGTAGTATTTGGGCTAGCAATTAGATCTTACAACTAAGAGTCACAATATGATCAAGGATTGAGCAGAAAAGAAGACTTGGATTGGGCCTAAGTAGCAGAAACAGGACCAGAGTTTAAAATCATGCTACTTATTATTAATAGCTTCATAGTGTTAAATAAGTTACTTGGCATCACTAATCAAAACTGACAGCAGGGCCAAAGTCATCAGTGAATCTGAGGCTCAGCCAGGGTATTATACTGGACTTGAACAGATTCCTCACAAATCTTTAGTTCTTCTTATTCTGTCCCTTTCCTCTCAGAGTTTCAAATGATAACTACAAAATCAGTTCCTGCTGCCATCAGCTGCTGGAGTTGGGCTAATACAGGGTGGGGGGATAGAGGGAAGATACTGGGGCCCACTGCAGTGATATATGAGGCTTCACAGTGCTGAGGCTGCCCTCTGTTTGGATATCCTACTTGTTGTACTTCACAGGCCATTCCCCTGCATATGCTTAGAATCATCTTTAGGTGGAATGGCCTCTGCCTGCTCTGATAAATTCCTAATCTGACATAGCTCAGAAACCACCTCTGAAAGAATTCCCCTCTCCTGGTATGCAGCAACCTCTTTTCTCCTCTGTGTTCTCATGGTACTTTCAGCATTCTTTTATTATACAGCTATATCACGTTGTAAGATAATTATTTGTCAGTCATTCCATTAGACTATAAGCTATCTAAGGACAGGGACTACAGCATCGAAAACAATAAAAACAATGCCTGGCATTTAGATAACAATAAATCCTTGGGGAATTAGTTTCCTAGAGAACTGTTTAAATAAATCAAAACTTAGATGGAAATTTATCATGAGAATATTCATTTGAATTAGAATGTTTATTATAAATGACATTCTACTTTAAATCATACATATTAGGAGTATATAAAATGACTGACAAATCCTGGTTCTGATACTTTCTAATTGTATAACCTTGAGAAAGTTACTTAACCTTTCTGTTCCTCAGTTTCTCACCTGTAAAATAATGGTAACAGCAATGCCTAGCCCATAAGTTTGTTAAATTAAATGATATATTCCATGTAAGACACTTAGAGGATTACTGCTATTACTATAACAAGATTATTTAAAATAATTTAAAATACTATTAGTAAAAGTATCTAAATAAATATGAATTAGTCAGATTTCATTTAAGACATAATTCCCTGAAACATATAGCCAAATAAGTACTATGTAATTTTTTTAAATGAAACAATTACAATGCGCCTATGAAAAGCAAGAATTAAATGTAAATATGAATTTTAAGAAATGTAAAATATACAAGTACATGCCTGACTAGCTTTTTAATTTTACAGTTAAATAATTTAGGACTTGAACATTTATTATGGAAATATACTTTGATTAATCGTTATTAGAAAGATATTCCTAAGTGCTCACTAGTTTAAATAAATTAAGGTAATTTAGGCCAGAAATAAATGTTGTATCTTAGGTAGATATAAGAGAGGTCTCCTATACTCTTGCATATCTACTTCTGATCAAGTCATTTTGCTCATCTGGTTGTAATTGCTATTTCCTTCATGACTATTGCTGAATTATAAATATAAGTAGATGGAAAGACTTATTTATGAAAAATCTCAAAACTATGAAAATGTAACTGAACTTCAAAGTGTCCATGTTGAAACCATGGTATTATGTGATTTAATGAGTCCTTCAAAAGTACTCTTTCTTGACAGAGAAATATTTATTATGCATACCTTGTGAATGGCTGGCATGGAGGGCTCATTAAAATCATATTGAAAGATAATCTGTCAAACTCTTCTAGCGTAATCCCCTAAGGAATGAACATTTGAGGAAAAAAGAGAACATAAAAACATGGATAGAATGAGGCAGAAGGGAAATACTAATGAACTATAAGTAAATATATCAGAACTTATAACAGTTTATATAACACAATACTTTTCAAATCAAATGCCGTTAAACTTTCCACAGTAATCTGGTGCAGGACATGGGGCAGTAAACTGAAGCTATGAGAAATGAAGTCACTTCCCCACCAGGTGCCAGCTCCAGCCAAAGCAGAGCTAGAAGGGTAGTTTCCTGGATCCTAAGTACTTCTTTCCTCTATCATGCCTCAAGCATAACACTGCTGTTTTCTGGGGTGAAACATGGAGAATGTTATTTTATAATTAATGCTTTTTGGCATAGGATAGAGGATATTTTAAAATATATATTAATCAATAATTTTCTTTTATTTAGTAAATGTGATATACAAACTAGTCACCAGCCCTTTTCATGATATCTGTTGTTAAAGGCCTCATTTTTAGATATCCACAATTATTTCATTGTTTTGCAGTTGTACACAAAGAACTTTAAAAGATTATACATAAGATTAATCAAAATAATCCCTAATGGGCTAAGTGGTTGAAAAATGTGCTATTTTGATCCTTTTTATATATCAGAAGACAAACATAGTGAAGCACAAGTCATGGTTTTGCCAACTCTTAGTGCACATCCTTAGCCAGGAATTTAAAGAGATCAGCCCAGAATTACAATCTTTCTAATTATAATCCACTTCTAAAAAGTTCAAGTATATGAGTAAAGCAGGAAAAGCTTTCCTCTGAGTTTTGTAAAGAGTGAGTTAACTTGATCCATGTCAGTTGTCTCCATTGTAGTAAAAGTCTGAATGTGTATGTCTGCCATTTTTTGATCACAGGGTTTTTAAATAATTTAAGAGATATTTGAAAAATGAAATCAAAATTAAAATTGAAAATTTCCCAAAGCACTTCTGGAATCCTGCATTCTCAGGAAAGCAATTTGAAAGTCATATACTGAGCAATGTATGGGGCCTGGCATTAGATAGCACGTCATATTCAAGTTCAATAGTTTTTCCATATAGAGCCACTATGATGAGCAAATGGATGTGGACTGATTACAGCTAAATTCCTAAAACTAAGGTAAAATTAAAACAACAATCTTTTATAGCAATAATACCAGGAGAATCCTGTCTAGCATCTAAAGAAATTAAACAGAGACGATGTCTCTAACATAGACAGACACTAAAAAAAATCACAATTTTAAAGGATCTTTGAAAACTGATTTTTTTAAATAGTGCAGGCCAAATAATAAGACATGCCAAAAATAAGTTATGCCAAAAATAATCAGTAAATTGGACCATTCACAACTTAATTAATTTAATCTGGTATGCTAGGTTAATGAATACATATTTGAATTCAGGAAAATAGTCATGGAGAGACACAAGTTATCTTTAATAATTCAGTATTTTAAAGCTAATGGAAATTTATTCTGTTTCCATTACATAGCCATACAAATTAATGAAAACACTTTTGCTTTCATACAGCATTAGATCTAGTCAGTGTGGTAACAGCGTTTATCCCATGTGCATGGGCAGCTGTTTCTGTCCCTCTGCCTGCCTTATTGCTTCTTTTCTCAGAAAGTTTCCTGGCTATTCTTACACTTAATTTTCATTTAAACTTTAGAAAGAACTTGGCAGATTAGAAAACAACAACTTTTGACTATTTTATTGAACTTAAAGAGAACTAATAGTTTTATAATATTCCGCCACCCTTTCCAAGGCTACAGTACATTTTCCAGCACTTTTCAAGTCTCTTTTACTCCCATGTGAATTACATAGACGTCTTGTTAATGTGTTTCTAGGTGTTTCTAACTTTTGTGTTGTTACTAAAAATAGAAATTTTCTTGTATTATATTTTCTAGCAAGTTTTGTTTGTATATAGAAATTATTGGCTATCATATTTTTATAACTGGACTCCTTATTAAATGCACTAATTGTTCCTCATACTATTCTCAGTTAACTTATTTGTATATTTTTCAGGCATATTCAATCATATTTTTGATTTCTTATTTCTTTTTATATACTATGTCTTTTGTGTAAGTACATTGGCTAAAAGATCCACAATATTAAGTAATAGTGCTAATGGTGGACATTCTTACCATATTCATTATTTTAATAAGAATGCTTTTAAATTTTTACCATTTAGCACGTTACTAGATTTGAAGATACACAAGGGCTGTCCGGAAAGTATCCAGCCATATAACCATTCTCATTATATCAACAGTGGCTGGATACTTTCCGGACAGCCCTTCTATATGTACAAGCGTGTGTGTGTGTGTGTGTGTGTGTGTGTGTGTGTGCACATGCTTAAACACAAATATAAACATACATACTCTCTAATCCCCCCACAGATATATATCTCCCCAAAAGTCAGTAACATATATAAGGCCAGTAAGCAACATATATATGAAGGTAACATTCATTTTTCCTAATTTTATTAAGAGAGATTAAAAACTTTCAGAAAAATCTTATTTTGTAGAATATCAGGTATTCAACAAGAACTTAAGTGGATGTTTCCTATCACTGCCTGTCCTATGAACTCTGATGTTATTTTATGGATATATACTCATGACAATTAGACCTTTCTTGAGGACTTTACCAATTATCATTATAAAGTAACTTTCTATGACTCTCAAATGCTTTTTGCCTTGAAATCCATGTTATCTAATATCCATTTTGAAACCTGTTGCTCTTTATTAGCATTTGCCTGATATTTTGATATTTCTTTGTCTATTTTTTAGGTACAATATATTATTCACTAAACAATGTTCACAAATTAATTCACCAATATTTCAGAGTATCCATTATATATGCCAAGCATTGTGCTAGGTCTGGGAATACAACAATGAACAAACTGGATAATGTTTCTGCTCACATAAAGTTTATATATAGTTATTTACTAGTGACTAGTAGTTTCCCATTTGCTTCCTAATTTACTGATTGTAATTTTATTACTTGTTATCTTTATAACCAAGGAGTCATGCTTTTTGTTAGAAACCTATGTGTGATTTTTCAGGCCTGACCCTGGGCGATTAAAGGGCTTTCCCTGGCAGGGCTCATGGGGCAAGCTGCCCACTTCACAGCAGTCGGGGTGCACAGCTGGTGCATCGCAGTCTCTGAAGGGAGCTGCGGCCGAGGTCTCAGAGGGCCGCACCAACCGGTCATGCTCTTGGCACATTTGTATTCCTGGTCCCAGAGGCTTCATTCCTAGGTTGCTTTATCTGAGACATTGGGCAGAAGTTCTCTGCCAAGGCCTTTTAATGCCCAGAGGAGGAGGAAACCTTGAAGACATTTTTACTCACTCTCAGTCCCTAGCACTTTAGCACTCCTAGCCCTCTCCTTACCATCCCCTGAAGGCCAGGGGCTCGCTGAACAGTGAGAGGGCCCCCATATCTGCACTGATCCATGGGGAAATGGATGGGGGGGGGGGAGAACAGTTACACTCTATGGTTTTATTTATGATATACTACAAAGGGAAAATTTAATCTATAATAAAAGAAAGCAGATCAGCAGTTGCCTGGGTTAGGGCTGGAGACTGACCAAAATAGGGCACTAAGGAACGATTTAGTGTGATGGAAATGTTCCATGTCTTGATTGTGTTGGGGGTGGTTACACAGTTGATATGTTGGTGAAAACTCAAACTGCACACTTAAAATGGGTGCAATGTATTGTATGTAAATTATGGCTTCGTGAGAAATTTGTAGTAAAATTTTTCATGATAAGAAATTGGTAGAAAAAAACACAATTTCATATTATTTTGAAAGTAACTTAATGTACATCAGTGTTAAACACTTCTGCTGAGTTCATAACAGGTGAAATGGGTAATGGGTTAATTTTGACAAATTTGCTAAAATAAGAAGCATTCAGTAAGTAATAGCCAGTGACTGTCTCCCTTGTTTTTACCACATACTATATATATTTTATGAGTATTGAATAAAAGCAAAGAATTAAAGTTTAATATCACCACAGACAGAACTAAGCATCTGGAAGTCAAGCATATTCTTACATTTTAATCCTTCCTCTCAGAGACTGGAATATTGATCTCTTGGTCTCTACAGCTGGAAATAAAAAAAAAATAGCATGCTATCTTCTGATAGACTATAAAATGTTAATTCCCTTCTCCTAAACTTTTTATTTATATATGACTTATCTTCCAATTTAGCCACCAGAAACCAGTAGTTGGCAGTGTTTTTCCATCACATTTTTCAATGCCTTATATACTTGTTAAAATGTTAATAAATACTCACTTCAATTGTCTTGGCTAGTAACTGTGTCTGAGGAAAATTATACTTGTATACTTCATTAGCAACAGTGTTTACATCAATGGCAGCCACCACTTGTGCAGGTACACCACTTTCTGTAATGACAAATGGAATATCCTAAAAAGAAAAGTCCTCAAAAAGAAAGGTTCATTATAGAAAGAAGTCAAAATAGCAGAATTTAATAGTACATTTCCTTACTTCCTCATTTATCTAGACAAATCTCAGATTGTTGATGGAGGACCAGGAGCTCAGGCATGAAGTGGAATACTTGAACATGCACTTCTCGTTCATCTCTTTGATAGCATTCCAAGACTAAAGATAAGATTTAAATGTTTTAGTCATAACCTCTTATATTTGCTTTCCTCGCTCATTAAGATAGATGCCTATGAGTTGAACAGAAAATTTTCCTAAGTTAAAACAAAACAAAAATAGGAAAGTGGAGTATATTCTTAAAAGCCATATCATTTGGAACTTTACATAAATAATTTACCGTTTGTTCCTCACTTTCTCACATTAATACAAAGTTGCTTCGCAATTACCACTGAAAATGTTTTCAGGTAAGTTTTTTTTTTTTTAAATAGCCTTATGGAGATATAATTTACATACCACAAAATTCACCCAATTAAAGCTTAGAGAAGTTTTAAAATGAGGTGAAAAATTAATTGGTATCAAAATGTAAAAGGCTCAAAGACCAAAAGTTTTAAATTTTGACAGACCAGAGAGAATATGAGAAGAATACGGAAAATAATCATAAAGGCGTGCCTTTCCTGCCCTTCTGTCTTGCTGCTGAAGAAAAACATTTTCAAAATGTGTTCATGTTCAGAGAATTCTAGCATATTCTTTAATGGCAGTCAAAATCTGAACTCTGTAATTGTAGCTGTTGCTATATTTGTAATTATATTTTGTTTCTTCACCAAAACATATATAAAACCAATTATGTGTGTACTCTATCCTAAATCAGGAAAAAATGGGAAGAGTTTTAAAAAGAAAAGTATTTGAGCCTTAAGAAAATCATCAGAGAAAACAATTACATAGTAGCTCCAAATAGTTATTTCTTTAAGTGGTTACTTGCTGATTAATAGCTTAGCTTAGCCCAGTATCAAAAAAGGGAAAACAAAATTAGGATCTGAGGAGCTGGAGCTCATGCAGCAGACACCTGGAAATAAAACCAGATCACAGCAATATAGAGGAAGGAGAAAGGCTCCCACACACAACCAAACAATCACAACCTTACACTGAGGCCTAGAAGAGATGAGGCCAGAGAGAAACGGGCACAGATGTCTCCAAGTAGTACTTCCAGTGTCTGCTAGGCAAGACTAACTGGACCTGCTCAGGCAGGACCAGTGACCCCAGGTATCCTGCTGAAAAGGAAGGTGCCCTAGGCTTTGCACCCTAGAAGCTTTGAGGTCTGGTTAGGAATACCATAGGTAGTCTCCACTGAGTTTAAATTCAGTAATTAATTACTTGCTTTAGTATAAATTTAAAGTTATAAATGATATCTTGTCAAAGGCATCAGATCTTGGAACATAAGTCAAGGAGGCTTCTAAACAAAAAAAAAGTATTAGTATATAAGGGATCAATTTGCAAACTCATAGAACTGTTATAATTCAGGTCAATACCTAAGCTAATCCTTGTAAGAGTTCAAAATTAAATAAACTTCACTGTACTATCTTACTATTTTGCTAAATATATTGTAATCATCATGATATAGCCTGCTTACATTCCCACTACATATGCAGCAAACTGGAATTACCCTGGAGTTGATTAATATGACTTTTGTCTTTTGTCAGGCCGAGTGAAAATCCACAGAGATGTGCTAAATCTGTACCATAATCAATAATTAATTTTATGGTCCTGTATTATGTGCCTAGAGGTCATAAAACTGACCAAAAACCAACCACCACATTGAGTGTTTCGTGTAGGGATCCAAAAACCGATGAACTGAAAATTCCTTCACAGGAAAGACTGAATTTTTAAAGCCAATAAGCAAATGTACTCTTGGCATAAATTGATGTATATATTTTAGACTGTTATAAAATCAGGACCTATTGTGTAACCTAAAAAGTTACTTCCATAAAGAGAAACAGAAGTATTAAGATATTACTGACACTAATTCAACTTGCCTTTCCAAATCATTTGTTTGGGGGATATTGATGTGTTTCTAAAGAAAAAGTTATACATAACAATTTTCAAAAGGAAGTCTGTCACTTCTGTCAAAATCTTAAATTGAGCTCCAAAGATAAGTTGTCTTTACAATTCCTAATATACAATTTAAATATGTTCTCTCTAAAACTCTTTACTTTTAAGCTGAATGCACAGATTTTTAAAATATATAACTAAAAATGTCAAAGTGAAAATTCTCTAGAATTTAGGCTAGGTGAGCTCCACCACTTAAGTGATCTCACAGTAGTAGTTATCAAAGGGAGGAAAGAATCAGGAAAAGGGATCTGTCAGGATCTTTTGGTAGAAGTGGAAGGAGGGGATGTGTTTTCAGCACTTTGACCTATTACTACTTTGCCTGGATTTTACTCATGATATTTCAGTTACTTTTCAGGGTTTCATATTTATCAATAGGAAGCATGGGTTAAAAAAAAGTGAGGCCAGGCGCGGTGGCTCACGCCTGTAATCCTAGCTCTCTGGGAGGCCGAGGCGGGCGGATTGCTCAGGTCCGGAGTTCGAAACCAGCCTGAGCAAGAGCGAGACCCCGTCTCTACCATAAATAGAAAGAAACTAATTGGCCAACTAATATATATAGAAAAAATTAGCCGGGCATTGTGGCACATGCCTGTAGTCCCAGCTACTTGGGAGGCTGAGACAGAAGGATTGCTTGAGCCCAGGAGTCTGAGGTTGCTGTGAGCTAGGCTGACGCCACGGCACTCACTCTAGCCTAGGCAACAAAAAAAAAAAAAAAAAAAAAAGTGAGACGTCATAGTTAAAGAAACACAGTAAATATTATTTTAAAAGGTTGTCAGACTAGATCTATAAGGAAAGGATAAGGATATCATGCTTCCATTTCTATAAGGACAGAATTTTAAAAGGCAAATTTAATTATATCAAGAGAGACTTCTACATGAGATGTTAGAAATCCCACTGAGAATACATACATAATTCTTGCTCTCAAGTATGTTTCTTATTAAAGTAGAAAAGCGTCATGTTTCTTATTAAAGTAGAAAAGAATCACACATACACCCCACGTTTGAATATCAATAATTTTCCTTCTTTTCTGGTCACTCTCTCTGGAAAAGGGAAGAACTTCTGGTTGGTAACAGTGAAAAGGTTTATAAGTTCACACTCTACTTGATTTTCCTAACCAAACAAATAAAAAAATTTAATTGTTCATGTGTAGTTATTTAGGTAGTAAGAAATCAATATTTAAAAAATATAAATGTAGAACTAACCAGCCCACTTTGAAATAAGATAAGAAAGTGGTTTTTAAACCACTTAGTGGTTTTTATTCTTTACCTTCTTTATTATTTATTTTCTGATCTGTATCTCATATAGGTGAGTAACTATTTGAATTACTCATAATAATCACACCTGAGATATTCAATCAGGTATGTTAACACTGACATCTAGTTGTAAAATGGAAGATTAGTTGAATACATCCAATGCCTATTTCCTTTCATTCAGAGTGATAGCTTAATTAGGAAAGAAAGTATTAAGCACAACACTAAGCAAATGAGTATTTTAAAAAACGGTATGGAAGGTGGATGGTAAACATCACATTCTTCCTATCACAGAATTCAAAGAACTTCCCAATTTCTTCTTAGTGCTCAATTTCTCTGAAGTAAATTTTACTTCAACCCAGTATTAATGACTCTTACCCTGATTTGATATAATGATTTAAAATTCACAGTCCAAAACCATAATTACTTTTGCACCAACCTAATTAATAGATAAGATCTATATCCACATTGTTTCATCTTCCTAACAGGCCCATAGAGTTAATATTATTGACCCAATTTTATCAATGAAGAAACCTAATACAATTAAGCTAGTTACAAAATGGTGTAGAAAAAAGACAAGAACTAACTTTACTGAGTATCTACATTATATTTTGGATATCAATTGTTTTATATAAATCCCATAAGACCCTCAGCCAGCAAAGCGGAGGAAACAGACTCTCCCCTAGGGGATCAGGAGGAACACAGCCCTGCCAACACATTGATTTTAAAACTTCTGACCTCCAGAACTGTAAGATAAAAATGTTGCGTTAAGTCACTGAATTTATGCTTATTTTTTACAGCAGCAATAGGAAACTAATACATAGGACAATAACTAGACATGTGAAGAAAAGATTTATATATAGGATAAATGATGCTATTTTATTTATAATAGTATAAAATTATAAACAATCTAAATGTCCAAAAATAGATGATTAGTTTGAAAAGTATGGTACATTTCCATAAAATGGAGTGGAATGCAACCATTAAAAACCAAGTTTATAAATAATATATTTAATCGCAAGAGAAAATATTTAAGATATTCTATGTAAAAAAGAAGGCTGTAGTTTATTTTAATTTTCATGAACACATTAGAATAAAGATTAAAAAGATATAACCTAAGTCCTTACCAGTGTTAACCTCTGCATTGGCATCATGGGTGTTTTGGGGAGAGGGGTTGTTTTTAATTTTCTTCCCTATTTGTGTAGCATCTGTACTCCCCAGTAGAGCATAATCTCTGGAGGAACCATGCAGTCTCGTTCAATGCTGTATCCCCACCACATGGGACAATAAGTGACACACAAAAACCACTTCTTAATTCTATACTGAATAAATAAATGAATGTTTTCAATGTGCCCCAATTTTTTAACAAATGTATTACTGATACAGTTAAAAATAAAAAATAATAAATGCAAATAGTAATATTTAAATATTCAACTTCACTGGTAATAAAAAAAACTTAAGATAACTTTTTCACCTAGTAAATTATATGTTTTAAAATATTATTGGCATATTTACAGTCACATAGACATTATTGAATATAAACTAGTATGTCTTTTAAAAAGAAATTGGACAATATCATCAACAACCTTTAAAATATTCATGCACTGTATCTTACTCATTCAACAAATATTTATTGAGCATCCACTATGCAACAGCATTATTTTAGGTACCAAGGATGCAACAGTGAACAAAACAGCACAAAACAAAACAAAAATATCCCCACCCTACAGAGCTTACATTTTAGAAGAGGAGGCAGTCAATTATCCATTCCATGCTCTTGGATCGGCAGACTCAACATCATTAAAATGTCTATACTACCCAAACTGATCTACAGATTCAATGCAATACCTATTAAAATCCCATCAG